GACTCTTATGATCGGTATAGATATAACACTTTTCCCCATAGAGGTAGTGTCTCTAGATCTTTAAAGCAAAAACCACGACAGCTAACTCCATATCGTGAGTAGGATAGTCACGATCATGTGGCTTTAACTAACGTGACGCATAAGCGACAACCTTCCCATCTTGCATCAAAACACATCCTAATGCAGAGTGAGAAGCATCACTGTAGACAGAAAAATCTTTCCCATACTCAAGCTGAATCAACACTGGGCTTGAGTTAGAACAGTCTTCAGTTTCTCAAAGCTAGCTTGTTGGTTCTCAGACCAGACAAATGGAACATCTTTCCTCAATAGTTTCGTCAGAGGAGCTACAATAAGGGAGAACCCCTCAATGAAACGACAATAATAACCAGTTAAGCCCAAGAAACTACGGATCTCTAAGATATTCCTGGTTTGCTTCCAGTTCAGAATAGCCTCCCCTTTACTCGGATCCACTCGAATACCATCAGCATAAACAATATGTCCAAGAAAAGTCACTTCACTGAGCTAGAACTCACATTTGCTCAACTTGGCTTATAACATATTTTCCCTTAGAATCTGTAGAATAATCCTTAAATTCTCCTCATGTTCTGCTTCAGTTCGAGAATACACCAGTATGTCATCTATGAACATAACTACAAACTGGTCCAATAAGGTCGAAACACCCGATGCATCAGATCCATAAAGGCAGCAGGGGCATTAGTTAACCCGATGACATCACTAAAAACTAGTAATGTCCATACCGAATGTCAGTTTCCTATAATCAATACAGAGTCTCAGTGTCCCATATTTCTTTTTGACAAAGAAAACTTAGGCTCCCCACGGTGATACACTGAGTCGAATAAATCCCCTATCCAACAACTCCTAGAGTTGGACTCTCAGTTCCTTAAGCTCCTTTAGGGCCATACAATAAGGAGCCATTGAAACTAGGGTGGAACCAGAATAGATTTCAATCTCAAACTCAACTTCTCTATCCGCCGGTAATCCAGACAACTCTTTAAGAAAAACATCGGGAAATTCCTTGACAATCTGGATGCCTTCAATATCATATTGAGAACTCCTAGTGTCCAAAATATAAGCAATAAATGACTCAGAATCCTTTCTGATCATCTTCTCAGCTACCAAAGCAGACACAATATTTGTCAGAAATCCACGACGTTCCCCGATCATTACAATCTTTCGGTTATCTGGGGTCTTCAGAACATCTCTCTTGGTCTCAAAATCAAGATTGACTCGATGTTTATCCAACCAATCAATGCCAAGAATCAAATCAAATTCTTCCAAAGGTAACTCCATAAGGTCGGTTAGAAAAATCTCCCTATTGATCTCTATAAGACACTCTCTAAAAATATGATCGAACGCTATGGACTTGCCTAAGGGACTTTGAACTATCACCGAATTCTCAGTATTCTAAACATGAATATTCAGACCCTCAGAAATGGAATGTGATACATAGGAATTGGTAGAACCACTATCAAACAATGCAAAGTAGGGAACTGAATGAATAGTAACAGTACCTGCAATCACATTAGGCCCATCGTAATCCTGTCGAAGTTTAGCAGTGTAAAGCAATGTAGGTTGTCTAGCCTCAGATTTGAATGGGCTCCTACTAGTCGATCCTGGTACTCTGCCCTGACTACGACTCCCTGCTAGAGTCTGAACAATACTTTGAGTACGAGCGGGAGTACTAACTGGTGTATGAACTGAATGAGTTAACTCTGGACAATCCTTTACAATATGGTCACCTGAACCATATCTAAAACAGGTACCCAATTTCCACATATATTCCCCAAAATGAGGTCTCCCACAATAATCACATGATTGTAAAGGCTACGACCCAGAAGAACCACCATGTCTAGAATGATGAACAGCTGAAGAACCAGATGCAACAGGTCTGACACTCACACCGCCTCTCTGAAAGAACTCACCCCTGCTTCTCTTGTTGGGGTGTGCAGAAGAATCAACAGAACCAAAAGGCCTCCTGAATCGGTCTTGAGCTCGATCTATATCTCTCATGAGCTCCATACCCAATCGCTCTATTTCCTCAACAGTCTTGCCTATCTCAACCAAGGCATCAAAATTCTTCTCCCTGTGGGTAGTAACTCGACTTCTGATCTCATACTTGAGTCCATTCTCGAACCTCAAGAATCAATCTATCTCAGTGTCAACAAGTCCAGGAGCATAGCGGCTCAATCGGATGAACTCAACCTCATAGTCCATAACAGACATATTACCATGCTCCAGATTCTGAAACTCCTGGCGTCGCTCATGCAGATATCTCTCCCCTATATAGAGACTCCAAAAACGTGCCTTGAAAAGATCCCATGTTAATTGGTTTCTCGAAATACTACTAGAAATTGATTGTCACCATCTAAAACTGTCTTTCTTCAACATAGTTAGGGTCCTCTATAACTTCTTCTCAGGCCTTAGATCCATCTCATCCATAACTCTCTTTGTATCATCCAGCCAATACTCAGCATTAGTCGGAGGTCCATCAGTAATACCCTCGAATGGAACTACTCCAACAGCTTCCAAAGAATTCAAAATTTTAACTGCAGTCATATTACTAGGGACTCTAGAAGCTCTCTGAACATGCGAAAGACATTTATTAATGGCATCTTCATTCATGTCATTATCCTCATCTTCAGTGACGGGAGGGTCTCTCACAGGAGTAATCGGATCATCATGAGAAATGGTTGGATCTACATGCGGAACAGGAGGATCACATGGTGACATCGGATCATCTATCATAACAGAAGGTTGAGCGACTCGCCCTCGACCTCGGCCACCTCCTGTCTTATGACCTTTAGTAGCACTCATCGTTGAATCTAAAAGGCTCTATTGAAAAATATTGAAACATAAGTCAGATTAGCATCAGGGATCTCGAAAAAGAAAAAAATAATTCATAAAATAAGGTAACACATTTTTTAAAATATCAAAATTTCTTAAAAATCCAGAGTTTAGGACTCATCTACAATCCGAGTGTTTTTTAAACCGAAAGCTCTGATACCACCAAATTTTACCAATTTACACAATTATAATAATTTTTTTCCATTTTTCTGGCTTGTTGCAGGGTTTGAGATATGTATGCATCACCCCGTGTTTGTGGCTCATCTGTAACAACAAAAATGCATTAATACTAGCTTAAGATCATAGTTAAAGGCAAAGTGAAACGAGTTTTTCTTTAATAGAATTTGTGCAAAGAAGTAATTTAATTTGCAAGACATTCTATTATGATTCAAAAAACATCTAAATAATGGTAAACCCACCAATGGCCGAATGACTGCTCATGTTAGATATGCTTTAAGGCTATATTGTACAACTCAGATAAATGCTAGCCCTTGAGATCCAAAGTTTTGGGCACCATTTTGATTTAATCACTTCAAGCAACCGGTTTTGCAAACCATTTGGAAAACTAAACTTATACATTATTAAGGGAAAAAATGTTCAAGATCATGCAAAAATTTAAAAAGAAACACAAAATGTCAGTATCTCATCAAAACTCAAAGCATAAGTTAATCAAATTTCATTAGTTTATGCCATAGGATAAATCCAACAATATCCCCATAACCAAACGAAGAAATAAAGAAAGAAAGAAAGAAAGAAAGAAAATATTGAACAACTTCAACAATGATATTGGTGAAAACAACAACAACTCTCTCAGTATAATGACCTCTTGCAACTATCCTGTCAAATAACTCACCACCTTCACACAACTCCATAAAAAATGGACCGCATTGTCATCCTCGTAAGTAGCCTTCAAGGTATCAATATTCGCGCGATGAGGCAAATGCAAAGAAAGAAAGAAAGTGACTCACCAGCTTCACATGCTTCATTGTCGTCCTCATAAGTAGCCTTCAAGGTGACAATATTTGGGTGGTGAGGCAAATGCAAAGAAAGAATGAAAGAAATTGACTGCCATAATCTATAGAAAATGGATTTTGCTTCTTTTTTCCTTTCTTCTCTTTCTTCTCATAAGAAACTGTTCATGGAATCCCACAACAATTTCTCAAAAATAACCCAAAGTTGTTTTTTTTTTTTTTGCTCAAATGGGTGTTTGAATTTAAACCGAGGATGGTAAAAAGTAAATAAAAATTTGGTAGGGATTAGACTTTTATTGAAAATTAAGCAATGAAATGAAGAAATAGGGAGTAAAAAGTATAAAGAGAAGGAAGAAATTTCTTTTAAAGATATAATCAAAAGCTTGTTAAAATTATTCTATCTTCGTATGAATGAGATAAAAGCACTTTTAGATAAAAGATTTGAAAATCCAATAAAAGCACTTAATATAGGTATTCAATCCAATTTACGCACGAGAGTTATTGGTTTTAATGTTAAACCAAATTACTTTATTTCCATAATTGATCCTTTAATAAAAGAGTGTTTGTGTTTAAGAAATCAAACCAAGAATTCTGATATTAAAGATTTAGCTGAAGATATAGCAATCATTGAACTTACTTCTATAAACGAATATACTAATACAACTGAAGTGGAAATAAATGAAGCCGATAATAAAATTATTGAGCTTTGTGACCAAATAAATTCACTTCAGAAATACAGCCGAAATTATTACATTTAAAAGATTTATCTTTACCAAGAGACTGAATATTAGAAAATTCAAGTACTCCTAAACCTCTAAACACAATAGAGTATGTTGTGTCGGGAGATAAATTATATTTTAAAAATACATTAGTGGTAAAAAATCAAAACATAGTTTTACCATCTTCTAATTAAATAGATGATGATGAAGAAGAAAAATACTAATACCCAATAGGAATGAAAATAGTAGGGAGATAAACATGGTTGTTAGGTTTTCAGGACACTCTAGGTACGTTTTCAATATACAAATACTTTACATCTTTATGTATTTCACTTCTAATATATGCCTTATGCTTTTAAGGTTGCATTCATCACGGGCACAATCTTTTTATGAACAAGAATACATCCGAGAGACGAAATTAATGGAAACCTCTATATATCCCGCTATGATGTTTAATGGATTTTCTGAGCTACCCCTTATGATAATTCGACTCCCCCTATTTTACAAACATCGAGATAATCTGTTTCACCATCCGTGGATATGGCTAGTCGTCAGTTTTATTCTAAGTGTACCTTACTCTGTTGTTGAAGCTATAGTATGGTCTTGTGTTGTATACTACACAATTGGTTTTACCCCTTCTCCTGGGAGGTATGTCTTATTTCACTCTCTTGGATTTTGTTTTTCGCTGATACCGATTTGTTCTTATTACTTGTTTCTTGGATTCAGATTTTTTCGCTTCATGTTTGTAAAATTTGTAGTACACCAAATGGCAATTGGTCTATTCCGAATGCTGGATGCTATTGCTCGAGATATAGTCATTGCAAATACCTTCGGGTCAGCTGCAATTTTAATTGTACTTTTATTGGGTGGATTTCTTGTACCTAAAGGTATGTTTTTTAGGAAAGGGAGATAAAATATTATTGATTCTTCAAGTATATATTGTTCTTCTTCTTCTTCTTTCAGACGAAATTAAGCCATGGTGGACTTGGGCTTCTTGGCTGTCACCATTGCAGTATGCACAAAGAGCAGTTTCTGTTAATGAATTCACAACCATAAGGTGGAAAAAGGTGCACTAATCGACATGCTTTGCATCCATTTTCGATTTTATTGATAATTGTTTTATACGCTAAACATGTAAGAGTTGAGACATGCTTCAGATATCTTTTACCGGAAACGGTTCAGTTGGAGACAATGTCCTTCATGCACATGGTCTACCTACTGATGAATATTTGTATTGGCTTGGAGTTGGTGTGTTAGTATTTTATGCAGTGCTTTTCAACGTCGTCGTCACATTGGCTCTGATCTATCTGAATCGTGAGTTATATATCCTTTTACTTATGGTTTAGTGTCTGAAGATTCTCTCATATCCTTCTTCTTGTCTTCGCGACAGCTTTAAATAAAGCCCGATGGTTGTACCTGACGACACAGAACAGGGTTCTGCTACAAACAATGGTTAGTAATCTTTGGTACATGTAACATCAACATATTTCAGACTCATAAAGGCTCATTAGCCTCTTTTAAAAGATTCTGCACATTCCTTCACAAATTTCAAAACATCTTGACAGTTGGAAATGAAAAGTCAAAATCGGAAGCTCCATCTGCTGAAGGCAGCAGGAAGAAGAGAATGATTCTTCCATTTCAACCATTAACAATGACTTTTCAAAGTGTTAATTACTTCGTTGAATGCCTAAGGTATGATTGTTGTATATATATCTTTTATTGATGTGAAACCTCATATTTAAAGCTCAAGGAATACCTGAAACGAGATTGCAGTTCCTATCGAATGTTAGCGGAGTATTCAGACCGGGAGTTCTTACGGCCTTAGTCGGGTTGATTGTAGCAGGAAAGACTACTGTGTTGTATGTGCTTTCCTCAAGGAAAACCCACGGATACCCATTATTTTGGATAAGTTATTGAATAAAATTTGATGTATGAAGAAAAAGAGAAAAAGATAAGAAAATTTACATACATATTTTGTTGAAAAAATGAGTTTTAAAATTTTTGGACCTTATTTTTAAATATCTAGATTTGTCTCTACCGAAAGGATTGACCGAAACGTTCGTCACATGAAAATTTCAAACTTTTATATAATTTATTGTTTTTTGTATTATTTAATTGATAATCTATTTCTATCTTTCTAAAATTTTACAAGATCACTCTTAATTATGTTTCGGTCCTTGATTATAACGGGAAAATATGTAGAAAGAATTGTATTACTTACCGGCTCTAGGATGAGAAACCTGAGAGGAGATTCCACAGAGTAAAAGGCAGAAGAGACGACGGTTGCTGTTTGCTGAGAAGGCGTAAGACCCAAAGCCATCAAACCATAAAAGGCAGAGGAGATTTCACGGCTCCTTTAAATGTAGAAACCATGATTGTTGAACCAACATTTAAAGGAACCGTGAAGTAGTATATATCAACAGTATTCGGCATTCATTCTGGGATGATTGGACCTTCCGAAGTTGTACTAATTGGCTTTTGCATGTTATTTTTTGGCGTCTTCATTTTGTTAGTAAAATATCTCTATTTTCAGAAACGATGAATTCCTAAGAAATTATATCGAAAAAGTTTACGTTCAAGGTAATATTTGTTCAAAAACTCTTAATCATTTGACATTGAAGGCTCATATTCTGTATACATGGTGTTCAATCCCGAGACCTTAGGGAATAACAACGATTCATTAACCACTAAGATCGCTTAGTTCGTGTCTATGTACTCGAATCTAAATACAAAAACTGACATGAATTTAAGATGACGCGCAACTGTGTGTCGTAAATTTATGACGCGCATTTATGACAAACATTTATGACGCGCATTGTGTGTCATTGAAGCCCCCGTCATAAATGAAGATGACACACATTTGTGTGTCATAAATTTATGACACGCATTTATGACTTACATTGCGTGTTATTGAAGCCCTCGTCATAAATGAAGATGACACACATTGTGTGTCAGAGAGTATATGCACTCAGTTGCTTTCCCATAATTATTAGTATAAATAAAAGAAATTAAGCACATTTTAGTTAAACAAAATCAGCATAACATAAGAAACATAATAATTGTGGGAATTTACAATGTAAAAGGGACAATCCAACCAACTGGTAGATGCAAATCAAAGAAAGCCATATGACTTCAAATTAGATCGTCATTGTTCTTAGACTCTTGGAACATAGAAACATGGTCTAATATTTTACAATAAGAATATTATGACTAAATAGAATAGAACATGGTACCATTTAGCATGAAGGATTTTGTTACTACATCAATTCTCATGTTTCTGGGAGTAAAGAAACCTAGAATCTTTCTTATCGTCTCCTCATCCCATAACTCATAGACATAGTCTCCAAAGATAACATGTTCTGGTGGATAAACAAGCAAATTTTCTGCAACAAAGAAACAAAAGGAATAGTTAATGGAATGCAGCAGCAAATACCAGAAATTAGAAATAAAAATAGCTTCCTAGTTTTATTTATAAAAAAACATTAAATATCCATTCTTGATGGGAAAGTTTACGCAATAATTTAAGATATTGATAAAGATAACCAATGATGTCAAATATCTGCAAGGCAAAAGTGAAGCACCATTAACAATTGTGGCTAAAAAACACAAAATTCGTGAAGCAACCTTAAAAAATATAAGCACATACAATATAGAAACAATCATAGTAGCAGTAACTGACTAGGTACATTTTATTATAAAATTGAGCTGCCAATTACAGAAACACAATGAGAAACATTGTTATTGTGATCATATTAATTTCAGGGTATTAAAATCTGATATCAGCATAATAGTAGTACTAGTAGTAGTTAAGCATATTGAATAAACTTGAGGGTTAAGCATTGGAAATTGAAGCAAATGAAAAACACTATCTACATTCCACAGACTAATCAAGAATCACTTATCATTCATAAGGAATCAAAGTTGTACAAGATTGTGATGAAGATTAATGCTTACGAACTTGTGTGTTGATGCGTGCCACTTTGTGCACATTCAGAAAGCCAACCATATCTTGGTAACCAGTGAGGAGTAGTGCCAACTTCTTGTCTTCATCTGAAGGAAGAATCCAAAATATTAACAAGTCGGTACAAACTTGGAACTAATAAGTGCAAATGATGAGCACGAGGTAGACTGACAATAAACCTTGAATTGCTTTGACTGAAAGCAACGTGTCTGCCATGTGCTGCCATCTTTTACATAAGAATGGTGAAAGAAAGGAAGGAGGAAAGGTTATTATGGCTACCGAATTCAAAGACTGTACCATGCTTTTGAGAGATCTAATAGTAGTTAAGCATATCCCAATCCTGCAATAGTTCATATTATGACCCTTTAAAAATGGCATGCCATCAAAGTGAGTTCCAAAACTAAGACTTCTACAACTTCAATGGTCCAAAACATATTATATTTAAGCACTCGTAAGGAAAAGAAACGGGAATTTATAATAGCTCAATAAATCTAAAAAATCTTCCACTAACCATGTTGGAATACGCACACTGTAGAGTACAAAATGATTGGATAGCGATACGACCAGCACAAAAATGATGCCATCATTTCTACAAGATTGTCGAAAAAGAGGAATGACCGACAAGTATACCAAATGGAAAGAAGGAAAAGAAAGGTAATGGCAAGTTATTCAAAGACACTAAAATTAAGATTTTGGAGCATCATACAGGATTCTTCATGCAGCTATAAGGGAGATGACATAACAAGTAATAATAAAATCAAATAATTCCGCGGGAACTAAAAGATACTAGCAAATATGCCAGCATGATCAAATAATTCCAACATCATTAATATATGAACAAGAAGGCAAACAATGATACTGTGGGGACTGAGATAAAAATGTTGCACATCGATCCTGAAGAGTGGAAAGGTCAGAAAAACCTTGGATGCTAACATAATCTATGTGCTGGCCATTGATTAAGTGCCTCTCTAGGGGCTTCCGCAAGTCAAATTCATTAGAGTACTCACGTTTTCCATCTGCACCATGTTCACATAAAGAGAGACCACTTGTACTTTTGAAAATAAAATAGTATGAACACTGATTAAGAACAGGGCATTTTTCAGATAAGTAACTGAAGAGTGATAGCATGGACATTGGTTAAGAACAGGGCAGTTTCAAACAAACAATAGAAAAGTAACGGTAGCTTGAGCATTGGTTAAGAATAGTGCACTTTCAAACAATAACTGGAAAGTGAGGAGTGTAATGAGGGATAAACTACCTCTTTGGCCATCAAAAGTGAGATGATTTTCACTAAAATACTTCTTATACTGCCAAGCAATTCTCAGACCTTTCTCCTGCAATTTTTTTGAATACAACATTCATAATTTGAGCATTTAAACACAAGATAATTCAAACAAACTTGAGAAACCAAAGAAAACAAGTGTCAAAGATAAAGGGACCTGATTTGGATCAGGTTCCCGGGATTTGTCATCTTTGGATACAGCAGGACTGGGCAAAATACCCAAAAATCCCCTTAGATCTCTGGCTGGACTAGCATAGAGAAGAGGTTGATCGTGAACAAGTCCCTGAGCCATGAAATTCCTCAACAAAAGCATGTGATGTGGTTCTTCTGCATCTTCCATCACCATAACAAGGCTTCCCAAAAGGAACCCACCACCCAGTACCTCTGCATAACAAGTAAAAATTATCGAATAAGAGAACACATCACTCAAGTCAATGATAAGAGAATGTAAGGCAATTATGTGTATGCATTACTGTCAAGGTCGTGTATCCCAGAAGATAGAAAAACCATGCCATTAGGCCCACACATAAGTCCAGGGCCTAGAGATGGGGCTGCAGTGGAAAGGTTTCGAAAGAAGCTACTCCTCCGAATCTTGGCCGTAGCCATAGCAGTAGCAACAATCAAAAAACAAAACGCCAAGCAATGCAGTGATCTAAGACATTCCTGGTTCTACTCCAGCAATATTTTTCAGACTTCAGACAATACCCTGTTGCACACTTAGTCAAAATAAAATCTAAAAAACCAACGTTATCACTAAGAATATCAAAAGCAACAATGAAATCATATAAAACAAAAGGCATACTTCTCATAACGATATGATTAGAACAAAAAATTATTAAATTTATTTCAAATTTTAGCTCTTTCTATACCGCCCATCTTTGCCAAAACTAATAAACACGAAAAAGTCTCAAGTTTTCTTTAAGAACCCATATTTTGTTTTCCGTCTCTTTACATTCAATCCTTATATCAAATAAAAGGTACACAGTTTTTTTAGTAAACTTTACTAAACATGAAAAAGGCTCCAAAGGTGTATCTTCCTATCTAGGTAAGGAAACAGAGATGAATCAAATTCTCACCTTAAACTCTGGATTCCCTTGAGAACC